CAATGACGGAGGCGCCGCTGGAATTGTGAAATCCGACGACTTGGGAGGTGGAAGGTACGATCAAAGTTGCCACAACTTCTCTTTGTTTGTACTTGAGAATTTCGGATCGTACGGCTGTAAGCTCGGCTTGTAATGCTTGGACTTGTTGTTGAAGAGCTGATATTGCTCCCATGCATCCGTATACTGGATCTCTTAGCCTCACGTTTGCTTCATACACGAGGCTATTCGCCGCGTCGGCTCTTTGGCCTTCCGGTACTTCCTGATAATTGTTTCATATTATTAAAATATTGCCAAAAATATTTGTTTTTGTAATCTAAGAGATTAAAGCGAAATACAGACTGATCTCTGTTTTTATAATAACTACATTAGATTTCATGACATATATATAGACCAACAAAATTCCATCATCATATTTGATTACTATACAATATATTTGTGTTTTGCATGTTCAAATTAAGATTACATATATTTGTGTGTTTGAAATGGTTATTACCATTAGCATCTTGGAGACGTTACTAGCTCCAAAGACTTTGTGGACAGATGCAAACTTATGAGGCTCATGTGGGGAGAAATACGGCGAAAAGGGACATTCTTGAGCGCATCTACGGCGCAAAAGCTTGCAAGCCGCACAAGGAGTAATGGTATTGAGGGTCCCGGGAGGACCCGACATTGGTCTTCTAATTCCTGCCATCTGATAAGGCCAAGCATCTGCTTCTCTTTTGATCTTCTTCCCTATCTCTTCAAATCTCCCCCTATACACAAAGGAATCGAATAAGAGCTTCAGCTTTCAGCATGAATATAGGACTAAAAGGTTGAAATCAACCATATCCACCACTAGAGGGAAGAAAACTGAAATCATTGTAAATAGAAAAAAAAAAACGTTCACTATGAGATGTTCACTTTTTACCTTTCTCTTGACATTCGGATTCAGGCATGCTCTCAACGGATCAAAAGGAGAAAGAAACAAAAAGAGAAATATTAAAGTCAAGTGACTCTTAAAGAAGGTGTGAAGGAAGATAACTGATGAAGGCTTTAAAGGCAAGTAAAATACCAAGTATAAGGTTTAGTGATCACG